TTAGAAACAACTTCGAGATTGGGCTCATTTGGAAGAGCAACAAACATGTGATCGGTGATATTGAGCAAATGAGAGTACTCTTTCAAAGTCGGAGCGATATGATAGTCCTAGAGGCTGAAATAGTGTAACTCATAGTCGTAAAACTGAGGTAGAGTTCGGAGAGCTCCATTATCAACTCTGACAAATAATATACTCAAAGTACCACCATGTCTTTCACTAAAAGCCTCTGCATTAGGACGAACTAAATGGTCTTTCAAACCCTTCAAAGAAGGCCAAGAACTTGAGCGGATCTGATAAGTAAAATTGTCTCTTTTGTTCCTCTTGGGAACACCAATGTTGCTAGGCGTTACTGACGGAAACTATAACTTCATGAGATACCCCGGAATGGACATGCACATGCGAGGTTAGTATATAGTTTCATTTTTATGACATTTCTTTTTGAAAAGTAAACATGCTATGATGTAAATGCAAATGATCATGGGATTACTACTTCCATGATACTGGTTTCTGTTGTATTGTCTTTGCATAGTCTGCTAGTACCAAGATCACAAGTTTGGGACATAACCGAAAGAACCTCATGAACATCAAACTCGGAACTTAGAAAATACATCTGAGAACCTCCTAGTCACCAACAGAAATCCAGAACATAATCATTAGAACAAATAACCACCATCTGAACATGAGTAACCATCTGAACATAGTCACCATCTGTATCTGTGATAATAATTCCCTCCCTACTCACGAGTGTAAAATAGGTCAAGGTAAGGCAAGGGTAACTCAGAATCATGAGTCCGCCTAAGGCCACTATCATCGAAACACCTACGTGAAACAATAGCATCTCATTTGTACTTCAACTGAGCGTGGACGACATGATCGTACTAGAAAACCAAATTCGACTAGCCATTAATGTTCCACTCTATTCCTAGGGTTCCTAGTGGTATACAAATCTAGCTTAGGTATTGGGCCTTTTACCTCATAGTAACACCTATGACAACAGTGAAACAGATCTAATACAGTAGTAGTATATGGAAAACAGTAAAATGCATTGCACACATATGCTCAGGTAATCATGTATGAATGAATAAACTATAAAGCATATAAATAAAACACACAAAGGAAAGGAAAACAAGAGCTAGGAGTGAATCCGGGATTGACCAGTATTTGGTCGTCCTATCCCCAATGAAGTCGCCAGCTGAAACAACAGGATGAAAATCATCAAACAATGAAGTAGCCATTGAACGTCCTTTATCCCACATGAAGGGAAATGTAAACATTGAGAAAACCTGAGAAGGGAGAAGTCACGGTCTTGCGACCGAGAGATCAGGTAAGGGAGTCTATTACGCAAGGGGAAGGTATTAGCACCCCACACGCCCGTAGTACTCTTTGGTATCCACTCTTGTTATTTATCTTATGGGTGTGTTTAAACTATACTTATTGTTTACTACTGAGGACGAATGCATGCAAAAGAAATAAGAAAAGAATATAGGGAAAATAAAGTTGTACTCACTTGGGCCCTACCTCAATGCCTACGTATCCTTTTTGAGGAATCAGAGTTACCGTAGTTAGGCTCACATGTTTTTGTATGTTTTGTGTTTTTTACGAGCAATGTTAATTTCTCCTTCTGCCGCAGCTCGACCTTTGGAGACTCACACGTTGGCACAAAAGCAAATTAATCATGTCCTTACTAAAGATGGTTTTGAGTTACGCCCTCGAGGCAAGATGCCACATTTAATTGGTTTGTATTTTGTCACCATGAAAAAAGGTGTAAGTTGTTAGAATGTTTTATGTTTTGTTAAAAAAGGAAGTTTTAGTTTTGAATGCAAGGATGCAAAAAAGGAAGAAAAGAGTCTAAGGGAGACTAACCTATTTCTAAACCTAGTGTTATCATACAATGGTGGCTCTACGTCAAGGATGAAAGGGAAATTTTTACTTAATGTTAGCATGCATGGTTTGCAACCTAAGGTCTAACTTGCACCCAAAATGAGCAAGTGCATTCTAAGGGAACATGGTATGTACAAGGATAAAACAAACAAGCTCGAAAGAGTACATACATAAAACGGTAAGAAAAAGAAGTGAAATGCTTTAGTCCAAGGAAGAGTATCACCTGAGGAAAACAAGCGGGAGTAGGATGTAAAACAAAAACATGATGTCCAAAGCGATTGAACACCTAACCAAGATATATGAGATCGAGGTAGGAGACAGAAGGAAATATGAACGATCACAGAGTATCAACATCGACCAATGAAAACTCCTGACAAAGCTTGGGGGTTTGATTGCGGAACCCTTCCCCACTTGATGACTCGATAACAAGAGCAGGCATAACTCTGAAGCATCATGGTGCATCACGAACTAAGGATGACACAGACGAAATTATGAGAGTTGATTGTGAACCCTCTCTGCTCGTCTCTTTTTGAGGACTTATCACTTGTACATATGCAGGTACAAATATAAACACACATGCAGAATACCTACTTTAAAGGTAGAGTTTTAAACAAACACAAATAGCACACAAAAAGCACACAATGGGGAATTGCCCTAAAAAGGTCTTTAAATAAACCAGAGGGATTCCTAACATGATCAGCAATGAAGATCCCCTTCATACATCTCTACCCTACTTCTCATGGCATCAAAAAGTAGTAAAGTTCTTACTTCTCATGGTATCTAGGAAAGCGGTAAAGTGCGAAAAGGAGGAATAAAAGTGAAGCCTCGATAATACCTAATGGAGAAGGTCTGTTGCCTCTTCTAAGTCACACAAGCAAAGAGAAAACCCTACAGAAGCTGCTTCGCACAAGTGATCAAACGAATTAATTCCCAAGTATTCCATATTGTGAAAATTACACCAACATTATATCATAAATCTTAGCTAAAAATGACAATGAAAATTATTAATAAACATAAATTAATAGAAAAATTTAAGGATAATTCTAAAGGGAGACCTTAAAGGGTTCTAAAATATTCTATTATTTTTTCATCATTTTCATCATCAAAGTTATGAGAAGAAAAATAATATATATAAAAACAAAAAAATCCAAAATAGAGGGGTGTTGAAACCTGGATTAGGTATGTAGTGAAGCAGGTCTGATGCTAGGCCCATCCAAAAAGATCTAATAAGCAGTATTTTGTATATGGATCCATGTTGTACTAAAAACACATTTAAGATGGGCATGAAGGATCTTTGGCCCAGCTAATTCCAACGTCATCAATAATCTAATCAAAATTTTTTATTTACCATTTAATTGAAAATTTAAAAAAATAAAAAATAAAAATGATGAAGCATTGTTTAGAAGGGAATTAAGGTTTAAATGCATCCCCTCTCAACTTTCGTGACATAGAACTCTCTTCTCCTCTTCTCGGCGCCTTTAACCCCAACCTTCTCTTCCTTCCTCTCCCAGCAAACACCATTGCCACCTCCACAAATCCCCCTTCATATCGCACCTTCGCCTCTCTCCTTTTCCAGTTCTCCTTAAATTTTGAATTCCTTCTCACCTCTTTCGTTTGTTATCTTCTTCATCTAACAAAACAGATGCACGGAATAGACAGAGGAGGTATTCGATCCAATGTGTTTTGATGCTCATCTTCTCCTTCTCCTATAAAAAACGTTGCCTCAAAAACCGAGGGAGTACCACCGCCAGCCCTTCAATCGCTAGAATGATGATGAAGAAACAACGAACAAGAATTTTCCAAAACTCAGGTACGTTCTTGTTTTATAATTCCTCTTCTCTTCTTCCCCAATTTCTTCTTCGATTTTGTGCTTTCCTGCGTTTCTGAACTGTTTTTTATTGTACTTGAGCGGTGATGTCGTTGATGTAGATTGAACAACGATGAAGATGATGATATTGTTGCAGTGTAACGGAAAATGAAGTGGTTACGAAGAGCTTGCAGATGAAAATGATGATGGATATTGAAACCAGTTGAAGGTTCAAGATGATTGGAGGATATGCTGTATTGTGAAGTTGCGCTTGATTCAGATTAATGATTGAAGATGCGTATGATGATGAGAGAGATTCAAAGTTGAAGAGAACCTTGGAAGTTGATGATGATTATTGATGGAGCGTTATGATTATTGTATTTTGTGGTGCTGCAATTGTGAAACTGATGAAGAAGATTATGGAGTGTCGAGAAAGAGTGAAGGTGATGATTATTGAGGTTGCAGAAATTTGTTGCGGTTTGATGAAAATGTAGAGAGAATGGTGGATTGAGAAATGATGAAGATGAAGAGAGTGAAGGAGATTCTTGCAGAGAAAAGGTGAGGTGAATTTTCTAATATTTTTTCTGTTATGTTTCTCTGCTGCTGGAAGTTTTGTTTTTTGAAGCAGTTAGGAGGCTTTGTCAGAACTTGGTTAGTAGTTGGTTGGTTCTATTAACAACTAGGAAGGTGTTTCTGTTATGATTCTATTAGAATTCTGTTATAGGTTATAGGAGGTTATGGTTAGAGCTTTGCTAAATTCTGTTAGTTAGGATGTTGGTTGAGAATAATTAGTTATTATTATTTTTTGGTTATTTTCTGTTATATTGAGCTGGATTTCTTTTATGATCTGTTTGAAATAAGATACAGATGGATTAAATCTGAATTGTTGAATTTGTATTCATTTCCATAATTTGGAGGGTGAGATTTGAATTAGATTGCACTATGAAACTTGATATGAAAATCTGACTTAGCTCTGAAAAATAAACTGAAGCTGAACTGGACTTTTGTTTTTACTAGTGAACTGCAATGTCAAGGTTTTTTTGATATGTATTTTCCCGACTTTTCCCCTAAATTGAACTGTGTTGTTAATTTACCATGAACAGGTACATCAATCACTTTTTTATTTTAGTCATGAGGCTGTTAGAATATTCTGGCTTCTGAATTGGTTTATTTCCTCTCCATTCCAAATTTTCCTGGTTTTGTTTTATGATGTTTTTTGGACAACAAGATATTTTATTCTCTTTTGGATTTATGTTTGGTTAATGGTCATATGCAAGGCGAGTTGTCTGGATCTGATTCCGTGTAGACGCAGGTTTGGAGCAAGACTCCTGGAACTTATCCCTGGTGTATTATTGAAGCACCATATTCAGAAAAGTATGGCAGCATGTATTGGTGTAAGTCATGGCAATATTTTGGGGCTGAATCAAAGATGTGCCATGGAATCTTGGAGTTTTGACTTTAGATTTAGACAATCTGATTGGTTTTGTGTATTTCTTATGAAGAATTTATAATGAACTCATGATGTTTGTAAAGAAATTTAATAACTTTTGAAATGAATCAACCATGTACTTTAACTTGTAATTCACCAAGGATTCGAAATGATTAATGGTGTCTAGTTTCGTGATGGTTATGGTGTAATGAACATAATTTACGACAATTGAAACGGAAATAAACTTGAATCATTTTTGAATGAAGTCAATGGATTAACTAGTTTGATTTTGATATTTTTGCTTTTTGAATTCCGAATGAACTCCACTTGAATGAATCACATCTTAAATCACAACTTGAGTATTGTTGAATGAATTTTGATGAACTTAGAATAAAAAACAATGTTGAATGGTATTGAAAGTGATAACATGAATGATGCCCTGAATGACCTATGATATGTTGAATCCCTAATGCATTAGCCCTTATATTTGTGTTTGCTCTCCATAAGAAATGCATTCAAAACCAACTTGCCTTCTATGCTCGCATCTTATTAGAGACCCTAATCTCACGATTGAATTTCCAATGATAATGTCTTAATTGTCGAGCAACGAGGCCTTCAAATAAAGTATCTTGAATCATGATCTAGACAACCCTAATTGATTGACTGTTGAATAGATGAATCCAATGCGCCAATGCCATAATCAGTACCTTGTGATTTAAACAACAAGTGCACCTTGAATTGATGAAAGATGAATCCCCAATAGCCATCACCAGATAAACCATACTTTGACTAAAGGATGAAAACCCCATAGGAGAAGACGACTTGATTCACCCTCCACAAAGAAAGTCTGAAATCTAAATATTCATCTTTGAGAAAATAAATTGATTGTAATTAGAAATACACCTCAGACAAAAACCCCACCAAGCCTGACCATAAAGGATTATAAACCCTAATTCCTCACTTTACTGCTTGAAGAAGAAACAGAAGAATCAGAAGAATCAAAAGAGTTAGGCTTCATTTGATACAAACACCTTAACAATTGTGAAACCCTAATATCACACAACCACCGAACATTGAACCTCGGGCACTTCATTGAATAAAAATGCGTGCTATGGAAATGACTTAGTAGAATGTATGCAGATGAATGCAAAAACCTAAGCCAAACAATAAGTGAAAGGGTACGACAATTTGGGGTATTACAGACGGGGATAGCTCCCAAGAAAAGAAATATGATAAAGACCAAGAAGAAAATTATGGTTTTCCTTTGGAGTTGAGAACCTCCAAAGATCATCCACTTGACAACATTATAGGTGATACAAAAAAGGGGGTAACGAATCGCTCTAAAATAAGTAGTCTTTGTTGTCATCATGCTTATTTATCACAAGTTGAACCTAAACACACCAATGATGCCTTACTTGATGAGCATTGGCTTATTGCCATGCAAGAAGAGTTAAACCAATTTGAAACAGATGACGTTTGGGATCTCGTCCCTCGTCCTACAAATCATCAAATCATAGGCATCTGATGGGTATTTAGGAATAAGCTTGACGAACATGGTGCGATAACAAGAAATAAGGGTCGTCTTGTGGCTCAAGGGTATAACCAAGAGGAGGGTATTTACTATGAGGAGAGTTATGCTCCAGTGGACCGACTTGAGGCTATACGCCTTTTAATAGCTTATGCTTGTTATAAGAATTTCAAATTATTTCAAATGGACGTAAAAAGTGCATTCCTTAAAGGATACATAAGTGAAGAGGTGTATGTTTCTCAATCTCCCGGATTTGAAAATGATGAGTTTCCTAATCATGTTTTCAAGCTTAAACGTGCATTCTATGGTTTTAAACAAGCCCCTAGGGCATGGTATGATAGACTTAGCAAATTTTTGCTTTAATAAGGATACTCTAGAGGGAAAGTTGACACTACTTTCTTTATTAAGCGTCAAGGAAAGCATATTTTATTAGTTCAAATTTATGTAGATGATATCATTTTTGGATATACTAATATGCATCTTGTCAAGGACTTATCTAAACTTATGCAAGGAGAGTTTGAGATGAGCCTAATGGGGAGTTGAATTACTTTCTCGGGCTAAATCAAACAACTCGATGAAGGAACGTTTGTATGTCAAACCAAGTATTGTCTCGAATTACTTAAGAGACTTAGAATGGATAGTGCTAAGGAAATTGACACTCCAATGGCAACAAACGGTAATCTGGACAAGGATGAAAAAGGTATAGAGGTATGATTGGTTCTCTTCTGTATCTTACATCATCTCGTCTCGATATTGTTTAGTGTTTGTATGTGTGCAAGATATCAAGCGGTTCCCAAGGAATCTCACTTAAAAGTCATAAAACGAATCTTTAGATACCTTATTGGTACCTCAAAATTTAGGATTTGGTATTCCAAGGGAAACCGTTATAATTTGGTTGGTTATTCTGATTCTGATTTTTCTGGTTACAAATTGGATAGGAAAAGTACTAGTGGAACTTTTCACTTGTTTTCAAAATCCTTGGTAAGTTGGCATACTAAAAAGAAAGTTTATGTAGCTTTATCAACTACCAAGGAGGAATACATAGTAGCTGGTTATTGTTGTGCTCAAATGTTATGGCTCAAACAATAACTATTGGACTTTGATATTAAACTATCACGTATTCATATCATGCGCGATAACACTAGTGCCATAAATCTAACCAAAAATATGGTGCTACATTCAAGGACTAAACACAATGAGATATGTCCCCACTTTCTTCGTGATAATGTTGAAAAAGGAGATGTTACGTTTGAGCATGTTGATAGTAAAAATCAACATATCAATATTTTCACTAAACCACTCGCAACTGAATCTTTTGTCAATATACATGGAGAATTTGGGACCATTGATATCTCAAATTTTGCCTAGTTCTCTCTCGTTACTTGCATGTTAAGTATTCACTCTAACTTTATGTTTAAGTGTGTAATTCTTTGTGAGTGCAACTTCCAATACTTCAGCAGTAATATGGTATCGTTTCAATTTCTCCTTGTGTTGTAACTGGTTTTAAAATAAGAGTAGACACCCTTAATTTTTATCCTAAGGAAGGGAATATAAAGTTTAACCCTAAAAAGTCATAGATTTTAAATTTTTGACTCGGTTTTAAAAGGGGAACTCGCCACGATTTTTATCATATTCCTATGTATCCTCTTATGAGGAATCAGAGTCCTAATTCGTACTTCGCAAATGGTTTGTGTTTTTTATGAATTACGAAGATATTTGAATTTCCCGCATCCTTGGTCAAGTGGTGTGAATAGTGATATATTTAGACAAAGTGTGTAGTTAATTAAAATATGCTTCGTAGTCCTTTTCGAAAATTAATTGTTAGATTAATTCAATTATGAAAAAATAATTTATTGTTGGTAAAATGTTTTTTATGTATTAATTGTGGAAAATATCTTTATTTAAATGCACGATTAAAAAAATAATTTAATCCAATAAATAAAATATATTTGAATGTGTATGTAGAAAAAATAAAATTTTATTTATTATAATAATAAATATAAAATTAATATAATTTATAAACATATAAAAACATAAAAAAAATAAAATAAAAAATAAAAATTATAAAAATAAAAAAATAAAAACGCAGGGGGGGTGCAAATCTAGTTTAGGAGTAAAACAAGGAGGCGCTAACAACATAGGCCTGAATTCAGATATTAAATTCAGGCTCCAAAGACAGGAGGGTGATTTTTAGAACTAACCAGTAAAAATGGAGGTGTGTAAGGAGTATGCCCAAGTCCAGATTTTAGACTTGGCCCATTTGGCCTGGGGTATGTTTTTTTGCGCTGATTAATAAAACAAAAAAACAAAGGGAGCGTGTTTAGATATGGGCCAGGCCCAAAAGGGTTGGGAGTCTGTTTGGACTCTGTATCTGTGGTCGCACGGTACTACTGTGAGTACGCATGTTGGTGACACATGATGATGGCCATATGTCTATGATTGAGAGTACACGGTAATAAACATGAGATGACATGTATGAGATTGCTGGACAAAATATATTGTTTTACAAACATTATTTCTTCATTTTTCGTTTTTCATCCCTCTTTCTCAGCCTTGTCTCTCATCTCTTTCCACACAATAAAACCCCAACGCAGCAAATCCCTAACCCCAAATCGGAGGCGGCGCCACCTCAAACCAAAACCTCTATAACCTAATCACAACCCTTAACCTAGATTCAATGTGACAAACAACAACGAAAAAAATAGATTGCAAAAGCTAAGAGTTTGCAATAGTTTACCTCTACTGTGCGTTATGCATTCTTTTTTGTCCGATATGGAGTTCTAGTCTGTTCTTCTTATTTTTTTTCATAGGTTTGACGACGGATAGGGGAGAAGAGACTAGGGTTTCAGATGTTGAAACCCTAGATCTTTGTTGGAAGGAGCTCTGATAATGCGATTTCCGACGAAGCGAAGTGGCGGCTCAAGCGATTACCCATATGAGCATCTTCTTCCTATCCAATTTTATTCTCTCTGAAGTTTCTTTCCTTCTGTCAATCCTCCACTCTGTCAATTTTCTCTGTCAATATTTTTGTCCCTTTCTTCTGTAAGTTTTAGGTTTTTATAGTGTTTTAGGGGATTTACAAATTAGGAAATAGATTAATTTGTCTACGATTTTAATATGATTTTAATTTGGTTTTTGATTTTGTCTGCAAATTTGTTCTAGGCTTTGATTAGGTTTCTGTTTTGGTTTGTAATCTGATTTTGTATTAATGTAAATAGTCAAAACTTGATTTGTTCTACATTAGTCTGATTCTGCTGTTAAAGTATTGTTCATATTGATTTGTTATGTTCTTGCAACATTGAATGTATGATTTGAAAAAAACAAGATTTTGATTCTGTTTGGATCTTCGATTTGCACAATACTCGTTTTAGCATGTGTTATTTTTCTTTAATTTGCACAGTGGATGTTTTACAAGCTTAAAATGTGCGTTTTTCTCAACTGAACTGGGCTGTGAGTAATGGGCCGGTAATGTGTTTGTGATTTAATGTCAACGTTCTTTGTTCTTAAATAAAAACAAACACCACTTTTTTTAATTAATCATAAAATATAATGTT